TAAAAAAGGGTTCAAGTAAGTGAAAGGCTTGCTAATGTTAGCGTGCTGAGGACAGAAGGGACAATGTAGGCTTCATAAGCGTCAAAGGTGTGCACAGCGGTAAGCTGAAAATTCAAACAGACTTCAGCGTTCATTAAGCCAAGCCTGAGATTTCTAATTTTAGACACAGCTGCATCTGTAATACCAGTTACGTTATAACCAGGAGTGCCTTTGTTTACACAAGAATAAACTAGGAACAGCACCGCCAACTTTTACAGTAGAATATTGGAATTGAAACAGTACCAGAGCAGAATCAGACCTTTGCAGCAGTCTAAATCCTTTATCTCTGTAGGTAGCTTGGTTTTATAAACCCATTGATGGAAATAAAAAACGCCACTCTGCCTCTGAAAGAAACTACTGTGAGAGAATGGTCTTTGCACGCCACAGGTTTGTTGTGTATTGTAGACCCAAGCCAATAAATGTAAAATACATCAAGGTACAAATATGAAATTGCTGAACTTCAGTGAGCCAGAAGCTGTTGATCAGATTGTCACTGAATAAAAAACCCAAGCTACATAAAGAAGGCAGTTAAAAAGATAAATATCAGCAGTTTCCTCTTGTCAGGGATCTACTCCCAAAATACATATTCAAAGTTGTCTTTTATATCTCATCTATTATTAATAGACAGACTTGGAAAAAATTCTGGGCTTTTATGTACTAATGTACTGATCTCACGATTGCAAGTGTAGCACCCCAAAATTAAGAAGAAAGTAGTTTTACTTACGGTGGTCTTTTCTTTATTCAAACATCCATTGGAATGCCAGCAAAAACTCTTTATTGCATTAATTGGTAGGAATGTTATGTTCTTTACCTTCATATGCTGGAAATTAAATAGATTGTGATGTATTTCAAATCAAAGATAAGAAAGGCCTTAATAGTTACAATTTTAGTAATACATTATCCATATAGTACACCTTTGTAAGCACCTAATAAACTCATAAACATTACCTTGAAAATGAGTTTCTTTTAGGTCACAGTAAAGAGTACTATTTGCATGCAGGAATCTTATCCATAGGCAGTTGACAACTGAGAATAGTGACCAAAAAGCTGCTGTCTTTTTATTTCTGTTAGTTCTGCACTGTTCAAAACACAAGAAAGAGAATGAAATCTTAATCTGACACTTGTACTCTAATAAGAATGATACATTCTGTTTTCAAAATCATTACAGCTCTCATATCAGGAAAAAGACATATTGAATCTTAAATTGAAGCTTCAGTTTGAGGAGCCAACAGTTAGAAAAATACCCTTCGCTTGTTCTCAGCAGAACACAAGTACACTTTACTCATCAAAGAAACATCCATTTATTTTCTAGCAACAGAGAATTTTTGTGTACTTCCTCCTCAGCCTATCAAAACATGTTACTCAACAGAGCAAAGGTGGGATTAGCTGCACCTCTGTATAATCTAAATTTATCTGATTATGGATTTATGGGTGCTGATTGTTTGTTTCATAACTCCTTAGTGAAGATTTGCCAGGGCAGTGACTTGGGGGTAGCTCCAACAAGAGTTCATCATAGACAGATTTCTCAAGGAATGAGAGATCTGACAGTGCCTTCTCATATACAACATCATTAAAGGCAGAGTGGAGCCCAGAGGGCTCTGGGACTTCCAGAAACACTGACAGAGGTATTAGATGCTGTGAAAGCTGACTCAGTCATTTGTTAGGACAGAGGAAGAACTTAATTATTATTTGAACAGAAACAACAGAGGGATTCTTTTACTCACGCAAGTTGTATCAATTTAACTAAAATTGATGCAAAAACCCAGTGTAGTTGAATCTATGCAACGCCCAATGAGATACATCCATATTGCCTGAAAATTGGATAAAGATGTTTAGTTTCTGTATGCAAATTTCACTGAACCTGATGTATTCCAAATTAAGAGAATCTGCAGACACAGAATTCTGCCATTTAGTAACAGGCATTTAGTTAATCCAGTTAAAATTTCTTTTAGATACAGCCTCAGACAGAATCGGCCCTGAGATATACATGTGCTGCAAGTGCATCCCAACAAGTCATCAGCATTTCATATCAGCCAGTGACCTCTCTGCTTCATGCCAGGTAGCAAGCAGTGTAGCAGTCTCCCCTAGTGTCACTGAGTCTCAACTAGCCCCAAGCCTACAGCTAAGGAGAAAGAGGTTTTGTATAATTTTCCCCATTCTTTAAGCTTGGCAAGTTCTGTACTTTTCTACTGATTACAACACCACAGACTGAGCATTATCAACATGGTGAAGTACAGTTGGTATTTGTTAGAGAACACTTGGATTCAAGAAAATAGAGTAACCAGTTTTAGATACTTGAGGACAATCACACATGCTAGAATAACAGCAGTAAAAGCTGCACTAGGCAGCACTCACTAGAATGGATGAACTACTGAGTTTGCTTCTTTTACTGTTTGATTTGTCTTGCTTGGGACAATTTTTTTTGGTTTTGTCTTCATTGTGCTGTCCCTTTGCGAGGATATCAGGCTGATTCTGTCTCCTGGGGAATATAACTTCATCCTGCAAAATTTAAGAATCTCTTTAAGAGCTTCTTTCTGATCACCAGGCAGAAATGAAGTTGCGCGTAGTATTATCTCTGTCCTTTTGAGGATGTTGCATGTCATGCTATTCATTGACAAGCCCTACTACAGGCATCTTCTTCTGTGGATTTTATGTGAGAAATCTGTGTTACCTACAGGCAACTAGTTTCTGTGAGTAGCCCCACTGTGTCTTGTGAAAGGGCAGCAGGTGAGAATTTCTAATGCTGGTTGCAGATGGGGTGAAATCTGGAGTCTGGTTTCAAAAAAACCTGCAGCAGTACAGAGCACTAGGAAGCCAGTTATAGGGATTAGCTGCCATCACTTGCATCCTTGATTTAAGGCAGAAGTAAAACATAACTTGTTTGTAAGATTGTCTGCAAGTGAACTTCTTTGGAAAGCTTCATTGTATTAGAATTGAAGAACCGCAGCTCTTCTTCCTCAGGCTGCTGTGAAGTCCAGACCAATATTTTTACTGGCCGTGTCTCCCAGCTGCCTTTCAGAGGTACAAAGCATGCAGATGGAGAAGCGAAACAGGAGGCCTGCAAGGTGATAATTTTGACTGTCAGGAATGCAGGATACTGTCACATCCCACTGAAATCAAATGGCAAGCCATCTCCTTGTCATCCTTCCCATATGGAAAAGAGGTTTTTAATATCTGTCCCTCACTGAAAAGCCCTAATCTGTACCCCAGTTCATCTTTCACAGAGTACTTGAGTCGGCATTGAACAGGAGTGACAAAGTGACAGAAAATGTCACGCAGCATGGCTGGAGAGCATGCCATGTTCTGTTCACAGGCGTGTTCATGGTGCTGCAGTTCCTCATACCTACCATGGGTGAGCAGGGGTCAAAGACAGTTCATCATCTGGATGGACAGATTTACCAGAGGGTTGCTTTCTTTCCAAGATGCACTCACATCTTCTTGTCAGAATCATACAGAGCAGCACCAGATTCATGAGGAATCCCTACATTTCTACAGAAGGAAAGCACGTATGTACACGGAGGGCCCCTTGCTACCCGTTACAGTGCTAAGGACAGCTATTGCCCAAATTACCACTTGCTGGACTAGCATCTCAGCAGCCCTTCTGAAAATGCAGTATGTTCAATGCAACTTTTATCTGAAAATCACTTGTAGTCTCCCCCTCACACTGAGCTCTCCTCAACTAAACTGGGAAAGTGTGGTCAACGGTTTTGTGCAGGGAATGAGTCTTTGTGTCTAAATCACAGAAATCCTCTTCCCTCTGTTTACTGATTGACAAAAATACACACATTTTCCTAGGAAAGGATTTTCATTGGAGAGGGATGATTACTAATGAAGTGAACATCCACCCTCTGGCTTTGGAGGGGCTTGTGTGAGGCATGAGCTTGTGGCAGAATGCAGCCCCAGGCCCATTGTCAACACATCAGTTAACAATGTTTGGGTTTCTGCTTAGCCTCCTTTCATCCTTCCTTATTTATCTTCTTTCTGTAATCAGCCTCCTCAGCTACTTGTATTAACAAGTGAAAATATTTTGTGCTGAGCAGGGGGAAAGCAAGTTGAAGAAATTCCAGATTTAAATTATGAAATCTTATTGGCCTTAATAATCAGAATATAATCACAAAGAACTAAGAGGCCACTTTTACAGAAAACCCCACTCCCAGAGACATCATTCTTTTGGAAAAAATGAGCCATGGTCTGGGGTTTCCAGGTCATGCAAGGAAACACTGTACGCTGTCTGATACTCTGATTCTCACCGCTTGTGAAATCCAGGTGAAGTAGGGAGTTTGGCTGCCTTTGAGCCATTTCTTTGCAAACTCCAACTCAAGGAATGCTGCAAAAGAACAGCAAAGGCCCAAGTGGCAGTGAGAATGAGCCACCTGTTTTTTCTGTGCCACCAACCAACAAAGACTTCATTGCAGCCCAGAAAATGATCCTTCTATTTTTAAGCAGGGGCAGTATGGTAGCAATAGCGTTTCAGCAAGTTCCTGAATTGTGCCCATGACAACACGACTGTTGCGAGTAAATTGAAAGCTTGTTATCTGCTCTGCTGAATGCTAGTTTCAGAAAGGGAGGAAGGTCAGTCAATATGAAAGATCTCACTATACTAGCAAGGAAAACTGGGCAGGAGTTTTAAAATTAAGAAAGTTGTCTTGCTATCAAAGTGAGAAAAAATCCTGTTAAAACTGCAGACACTTTAAATATACACAGCTGTAACAAAAGTTGCCAAAATCAGATCAGTTTCTCCAGCAGACAACTAAGGGTGTCAAAGTGAGTGAAACAGGGTATAAGCTTTCGGTTCATACGTGCTTTTCACAAGGTAGATAACCCAGGGAACATAACTGATACATGGTTGGAGAGATTTTTATAATCACCTCCACCCTCCAGTCAATATATTCCATTTCACTGGACGTTGTCCTCATTTCGTCCCTGCTGAGTACAGCTGGTGGATTACTATGCGAACTGTACCACACGGAAGACTTAACTTGGTCTTCTAGCATGGGGACCCTCTGGCACTTACAATGCACTTTAATTTTATTCTGTGTTTTAGTGCTGAATACCACAGGGTAAGTAGCACAGTACTGAATGTAGTTTAATTCAGGAAGCTTAGCTGTTAATGATAAATGTCGTTTCTTCACTTTTTAAATATGGAATGCTGTACAATTGAACCATGTCATTTTTAAAAAGAAGAAATAATTGAATTTTGTTGTTGCCTAATTCTGCACTGGCTTCTGCCTGCGAGAAAAGCCTGTGACATGGATTTCTAATGGCACATCTGAAGAGGAGTGGTTTTGAAAAAATAACCCTAGCGGTTATAAAAGACTTTTGACTCTGAATGTACCTACAGTAACCTTTGCCTTAGGACTTAGCTGATGTGTAGCAGGTTAAAGAGTGCTGAATAGAGCCCAAGGGGAAACATGTTACAGCTTTCCCTTTCTCATGGAAGAAGAAATCCAGGAAGGAAGAGCAAAGAAAATTTTCTTACTTTATCTGTCTTCACATATTGTGTTTCCTCCTTAACCTTAGCTCGATCTACTTTCCAGTTGCTTGTTGCATTTCATTGATGAATTGATTGTGTGATATTTGCTCCTAATCTCCCTAGTTTCTCTGAATGTCATTGCTTAGACCTTGAGGGGCAGTGGGGATGTTCACTGCCATGCATTCACTTAAGGACAGATTCTCTATATTGTGTCAACTACAATACGGATAATTAAGGAGGGGGCACCACAGAGGCTGGAACTGAACCCTGCCTCCTGAAACTGTGGACCACCATCAGAGTGTGTCAAGAGCTACTACTGTAGCTTTGCAGTCCTGGAAATCCCCTTACTGTGTGAAACATCCAAAAAGCAGTCATTTATGCTGTGATCTGTGGTGGGATTTTGGTCTTGTGTCAACTTACCTCTGCAGGACTTTGTAGCACCACAAGGACTATGCATTTGTAACAGCTTTTGTTTGGCAGCATTTTCAGGATAAATTAGAAGAGCTGAATGAGATGACAGCTTTGTGTCATGAGATATTTGCAGGGGTGAAAGGAAATACATAGCCTTCCAACAAACAACAGATTTGCACAGTACACTATAGTTTGCGGGCATTTACTGTTTGCTTTGTAACGGTGGGGATGACAATGCCATGAGCAAGTTAACAGCAAGTCTTTGTTGTTATCCTGTTATTATCTGAGTTGAGCTGCATCCACCCATCACTTCCATAGCTCCCTGTCCCTAGGAGAGCTGGTGTCCTAGGCAGAGAGACCTATCTTCAGTGGGATACAGAGGATAGGATCCTTCCACACTAGGTGAAGTGAACATATCCCACCCTTCACCCACTCTCAGAGCTTTGTCATGGAGTAAGCACATACAGGAAGACAGAGGCAGGCATGGATGAAACCCTGTGTCTATTCAGTGAAACACCCAGAGACATATGTTGAAGTCCCAACATTCTTTCTTAAATCATTTTTGAGTTACTAATTCCACAAGGGCTTCACTGTGTTGTTTTTCTTGGCAGGATCAAGCAAAGACCAGCTGGTGGCTTCAGAACTTGGGAACCTGAAACAGGTAACTGCATGTCATTAGTACTGCTAACATCCAAGGCAGATTTGGAACATACTAACTCCTCTTCCCTACTTTAATGTGTTATATTTCAGCTTACCTCACCAGATGTGATTTTAACAACAACTCAAGACCATTTTGTGACTGGACCCAACCTTTCAGTGTCAACCAGGGAATGTGGATACGAACCAAGCATGACACTCCAACTGATGGAACAGGTCCTGATAGAGATTATCCTGATGGAAGTAAGTGCTCGGTTGTGGCTTTGTTGATTTCCTTTTGAAGACAGCTTGACTACATTTATTCTTCTTCCTTTGAAAGAGAAAAGAGATTCATGAAGCCCTTTGAAATGTGCCAGTTTTGTTTCGTGCTGACCCTGTCTTTGACTTTTCACTGTGTCAGAAATGAGTAAATTAAACTGGGTTGCCCCATCATGGGTTGGAAATCTTTATCAGTGCATGGGGGTAGAAGAAAGCTGATTATATCTTGCTTAAGGCCTCATAGAGAATGCAGTGACGTGCAACAGTTCACTATTGAAGAGAGGGCTCGTGGCCAAATTACACTGATATCAGCTAATCTGAATAAATGTAATGATCGCTATATTGGCACTAGATAATATTCATGCCAGCAAAGTGTTACAATATCAAGTCTGAAATTAAAGAATATCTTCAAAAATCTTGTCATCAGCAACTTGACCCCAGAAAAACTGGAGTCTAATGTGGTCATATCATCAAATGAGTTCTTCCTATGGCTCCATTTCTGTTTGAACAACTATACTTGCACTCACAGATCCACGTATGGAGGATCAGTCTGCAGTCATACTGTTTATGATTAGATTAAAACAGTATTAGTTGGGATTTTTGCTAAATCATTTTCTGAATTTTTAGTATTTTGATAATAACAATTGAAATTGTCTGTTGAAAGAAGAAATTAAATATTTTTAATTTGGATTGACACAAAAAATAATGTATTGCTTTTTGAATTGACACAGACCACATAACTTTAAATGTGACTTACAATTTCTTGCCAACTAAAATATATGACTGAATGTTAGACGCTATGTGTGGAGCCATACTTTTCCTTATACAAATGGTCATTAATTTATTTTTGACTCGTTTCCATTGTCAGATGGGAGAGACTTGACTTTAACTGCACCGGGGAAATGTAGCTTTGATCTTAGCCCATGGGAAGCAAAAACCTTCAACCCTAGTAAAGCAAAATGTGATCTCATATAGAACCAATTCAGACTAAAGCATTTCAAATCCTAACAGAAATACTGTCAGTTTCTGAATTTTGAGAAGTTTCCTTCCTTTTCATAATGTCAAACCTAGATATTTTGGTGGAAATACCTGCATTGCTTTCTATCCCTTCCATTTTAAGAGGAAAACAAATGTTGATGGGTTGGAATTTTCCTTGTGCTAGGGATTTGCTCATCTTGAGACCAAAATCTTTAGAAAAAAAATATATCCTGCAAGAGAAGGTGTATAGCAGATTGCATTATTTTCCTTTGAGGAAAGAAGAAACTGAACCTGGAGAAGTGGGGCGCCATGTCTGGAGGTGCTGTCTCTTGAAAGACGCCTACACCTTTATTTGTGATCCCAAAATAACTGTTCATGTGAGACGGACTATATTTTCTTTGCTCTCCAGCTCTCATTCTAGTTTGCGTATCTAAATGGTGCTAACCATTGCAATGTAAATTCTGAACACCTTCTGCTTTGTTTCTTTGCACTGCTAATGATGCCCTTGATTTGTTCCAGAATTGGGTTGTACTTCAGTTTTAAATGGCACCTAACAAATAACAAAGATTCAACCGTATTTTAATGTTTTTCACTCTGTAGAAGGCTATTTCATCTACCAAGAAGCAAGTAATCTGATCCCATTCGACACTAACAGGCTTGAGAGCCCAGATACTGTAGTTTCTGAAAAAATATGCATAGACTTCTGGTACTATATGTTTGGGTCAGAAGACATGAATGAGCTGAACGTGCTTATCCGAGACACCACAGGGGAGTTTGTGGTGTGGAGTCGGAAAGGAAACCAGAGCTCCTTGTGGAACTACGGTGCCATCACTCATACTTTTCCAACACAGAGAACAATAAAGGTAATATATTTTCAGAATAAATTTCTTTGTACAGTGTCAGCATTTGTTCTGCCCCCACAGGATGCAAAAGGTCATGCACGTAAGCTAGAAAATACAACCAAGATTTGCTTGGTTTATATTTTGTAAATATAATGGCCTCATGCTCTGTGCCAATGAACTAAAAGAAGAAACAAACAACCCCTTGAGTTTTACTGGTGCTGTTAGTTAGGGAAAAAAATATATCTAGTTTTCTCTCTTTTTCCTTCCTTCCCTCCTTCATTTTGCCATGAAGTCAAGGGCTTTAAGTGCCTTAATTAAATGCAGGTTTGTCTGCTGTGAGTTAAGTTTTGAACTTTGGGATATTGCCTACATTGGACTCCTCTGTAGAATCCAGACAACTAATTCTCATAAATCATTTATCAAATGACAGCAAAATAGAGGACAATGTTTCTTGAAGTCCTTACCTTATTACAGAACATATATTTTAGGTTTCTGAGGGAAGCCAGAAAAAACTGTTAAAGCCTCAGCTTACTTGGTGCCTTTAGAGATATGCCAAAAAGAATACATTGAAAATGTGCTAAGGGAAATGGTATCACATTTGCCTGAACAACTCTGATGCAGTGATTTATTTTGCATCCTGCCTAGGTAATTTTTGAGGCTGTCCGAGGCCTGACAGAGTATGGGGATACGGCACTGGACAACGTGAGAGTAAGGGATGGATCCTGTGGTAAGTCTGTGTTTGCACCTCAGTGTATGCTTCCTCATCTCTGTTTAAGCTGTTGACCATTACTCAATTCCATATACAATATAGAAATTCTTCATAACTTCAAACCTGAAAAATGGCAAAAACTTTACAGTTCGCTTCATTTGAATGTTACGCTTTTTTGTAGTTTCTTTCTAAATCTTTCCTCACCATCTCAAACATTCAGAATAAGCTATCCCCTTCTCTGCAAATTTGAGCATTTTCACAAAGTCCAGCAAACTTTACCTTCACTTTAAGTCTGAAGTGCATCTCTAAAGTCAGCCAAGGCTATGCACATTGGTCTTGGATTCTAGATTAAATACTCTAACCAGCATTTTGCAGCAAATCTCAGTTCATATGAGAAATACACAGCACTGCCATATGGCACAAAAAGAAATAACAGTGAGTCAATAAAGCTGAGTTGCGCTACTAGCTCTGACTATGAATCAGCAATTTGAGCTTGATCCCTGACCCTTAACAAATCAGCCAAGACTGGCATAAGCTGTGGATGACTAGGATCTGGAACTGAATTACAGTTTCATCCCATCTTTACTGACAAGCATGCAATACTTATAAAACGTGAATCGAAAAATCTATATGGTTTGTCAAAAACCATATAGAAAATGTCGTTAGGTCTTAATAGGCCTCATTCTCAATGAAATACTACTCATATAATGACAATAAATTGTTTCAAATTTACGCTAGCCAGGAGAAAGATTTCCATTCATGTCCACACAGAACACATAATTTTCTTTAAAATTCTGTACAAAATATTTGGGGCCTTTTTGGGGTTTTTTTTGAGGGCTAGGGAGAGCCAGTTCTTCATTTTCCCAGATGTATTAGCATATGATTCAGCCACTGGATGGTGCACTAATGTAACTCCAAGAGACAAGAGAAAAGTGCTTCTCCCTCTGTTCGACTGTATGGCTACTAATATGATGAAAGTTAACCGAATTGTTAGGTTTGGTAAAAGCCAAAGTCCTCCCAACTTTTTGTTTCCACAAGAATGTTTGATTGAATAGACATTTTAATCAAATTCATGAAAAACTAAATATATGCCCATTTGTCATATAATTAACTTCAAAGGCAACTTTAGCAAGCAGTCTTCCAATTATGATGTTTGATATTTGTATCATCATTTGCAGAACTTCTTCACCTTAGATCTCAAAGGACAATAATCTTAGGAAGAGATTTTCTTCTGTTTTTTTTTTCCTCAGCTCTACAACAAAGTTAACTGAAAACTTGAGGTATCCATTGTGGGAATACAGCCATTACCAGTATTCCTGTAATTTTTCACCGATGTTGAAAGATCAAAAAGAGCAATTCTGAGCTAGATATGCAAAACCTGCATTTACACTGGAGTAGAGAGCTGGATGTGAAGAAATGGGCATATAAGAAACAACTGTACAAGAAATCAGTGCATGCAAAGAGGCTGATCCCATTTTGTAGGCATTTTATTACAAAATATCTTCAACTTTGAAGTTGAAGCGCATTAAGTGAATGGGATCGTTTTACGCAGCAATTATCAGTGTACACTAGACTTCAAGTTATGTGAAGTCTATCGGCTTCTTCTAAATTATAATCATAAGTATCTTACAAAAAACCCACATCAGCTGAGTTTGAATACATGATTAGCACAAAAGCAGAAACATCACAGTATGTAGTTACTGCATCATTATTCAAAAACCTCTAACACTTCTCGTATGACTGGTTTCCTATACTACAACTTAATCCCTATAAATAATGTCCTTAGTAGTGTCAGTAGTACGGAAGACCAACGGCCTTACTTGTGGATTCATGTGGATTATTACATAACCATAATGCATCTATAAGTAGGTTGGAAAGCATTGTTCTCCATCAACCAATTCATCACTTGATTAGCTCTTTGTACACTGACTGTTATCACACACTCAGTGCACGGTGGAGGGCTCACAAGGGTGCCATAGCAGAGTACCTGAATGAGCAGAGTTGGTCTTTGTTCTGCAAAGGGACAGGAGCGAATGTGTGCATGCTCTGAAGGTTTTAGTCAGCCTACTGTACTTACAGAGATTCAGATCCATCTCTCATTTGCATGTCGCCAGGTGAATGAACATGACATCAAAAGAATACTCACCCTGGTGTTGCTAGCTCACACCAAAAGAACTACTGCTTTTAGAAGATGTCTTTGTGATGGATAAAGAATAGGTGGAGAAGATGCTAATATTTGTTATCAAGCATAAGCAGGCAGGAGGGAAGACTCCCCAACATGACTGTATGTTGTGTCTGTCAGTAGAAAGCTCTTACAGCTCTCACATTCCTAAGAAATAAATATAGTTTTGAAGAAACAACAAAACTCTCTTATTAGAAACTACCCGTGTCCTGTGGATTTTTTTTTTTGCTATATGGCATTTGCTGGCAGGCTGCTCGCTCCCAGATCTGCCAACACTTGCAGACAATATGACTTCCATGCTGTAACATACACATCAGAAGGAGACACATATCCAATTGTAAATATACTTCCAGGCTCAGAGAATCATGCAGGCACAAGCTCAGTCACTGTCACCAAGCTAACAATCAGACGAGCTTTCCTAAGTGCTCAAAAGACCCATCCTCATTTTTAAATATAGGCAGTCCTGCTTGCTTATGAAAAACTTCTAATTTTATGCTGTTGAAGAATAAGTGGAAATTTATGTATGTTAGTGTGTAAGCATCATTCACCCTGTAAATTTATAACTCATTGTATTGCCTTGTCTTTTCTACTAACAGAAGCTGTCCCTAACCCTGTACCACCAACACCTACACCGACGGAATCTACACCACCTTCAGTGACAGGTGATTTTAGCTAATAATTTATGCTAGTCAACAGTCGTAGAAGGGCACCTAAATTTTTTATTACCAGTGCTACTCACTAGCTTCAGTTAATTGCTTTGAGTATCCCTCTATGGCATTGACTTATGCCATATAAATCTGTCTTTTCTGTTTCCATTCTTCCATATGTAATCTATAAAATCTATAAAACTATAAAAGTTTTCCCACTGCACAATGAGGTGGCTTTTCTGGATGTATCCATATGGTCATGAGAACATACTCCTTTTTCCTGTCTCCAGAAGCAATTTGCAGTATACATGGGGATCCTCACTATTACACATTTGACAAGCAACGTCATGACTTCATGGGCACCTGCACCTACACCCTCTCCAAGCTGTGTGAGAGCAACAGCTCGCTGCCCTATTTCAACGTGGAAGCAGCCAACGAGCACAGGGGAAGCAACAGTCGTGTGTCCTATGTCCGATATGTGGACATCGATGTGTATGGCTACAGGATCAATCTGGGTAAAAACAGAGTTGTTAAGGTAAGGTTGGAGCCCACTATCTACCATCAGTATACTCATAGTGTAAATGAAGAAATTGTTGCACAACGACTACAAATTCCCAGCATACATACAGTAATATTTAGAGGGCTGTCAGGTATTTAGGGGTAGGAGTAATGTGGAGTTCTTAAAGACTGGCATTTCAGGACTGAAAACATAGGCTAAAATTTTGTGCTGTGTTGCTAAACGGTGGGATTAGAGCTGGCAGTCCAGTTGGGGTTGGTGGGCTAGCCTACCTTTCTAGCTTGCCCCCCATGCTCAAGCTTGGTCTGCATCAGGGAATAAAAAGGCCCTGTGTTAACTGAGTCCATGCTGGTGGTTATTTCCCAATCCTGTGTGGTAGCTGGATAACCTGTAAAACTGCATGTTCATCCCTGATTTCTAGTTATTCCACATCACTGCTAACTACACTTAACACCTGGCATCTGCCATAAAGCAGGCCCAGATGAGAGATATGATTGTCCTAGAGCGACAATCTGATGACTCCTTTCACACTGATTGTGTCACTTGGCCAGTTATTGTATTTTAAAGCTTCTTTATGGTTCCTTTCTACAAAGGGCTAAGACAGCAGACCTGTTTGATTCAAACACCCAGTAAATGAATAGGTGACCTTACTTCATTACCAATCTTATAAAAAAATAGTACAGTGATTTATGTGACAGGAGATACAGGTTTAAATGTATGCTGAGACCTTTCTCACCTGATCTTAGAAACATAGTGAACTCATATGTCCATATCTGTCTAACAGCTTCTCTTCTGCACCTGTATCTACTGTTTTCATTATATACATGTTTCTAAGAAAACCAAACTTTCTTACGTACGTAATAAGAACAAAGGTTCTCATAATAAGATCAAAGGAGATACTAATTTTAGTAAATTTTAAAGAAATAGAAAATTTTACTTGGACACTTAATTTCTATTGTCTGGCATTTAAAAGCTGAAAATTAAAAGAGATAAAGAAATAAAAAGAAGCTTTTTCAAGATTTGTCCAAATCTGAAAATTTTCTGAGAATCCATTCTAGCTACATTTTTTAAAATCTTACTTGATACAAAATAGAAGATAGATCTGTAAGTAGTTACTGTTGGCAGACCATGCTAAGTCTTGGAGTTTTGCCAGATGAGTCTGGTTCACCAAGCTCACTTTGACCGCACTTGGAAGCTACGTAGCTACGTTGTTATGGCCTCAAGGCCCCAGATTATGTGCTTATAAACAATATTTAACAAAATGTGAGGTCTTGCTGCTCACTGTGCAAGTCCTATGCTCAATGTAGGGATGTGATCTAAGAGGGTCACCACTAAAAATACTTCTTTTAAAGTTATTATAATGATTGTCCTTCTCTGTGCCTGCAGGTTGATGGGGTCAGCCAGGTGCTCCCTCTGACCTTGGTGCAGGGTGTCCGTATTTCCTTCAGTGGGCAGTATGTTGTGGTTACTACCAACTTTGGGCTGAATGTCAAGTTTGATGGAAATCACAGAGCAGAAATCACTCTTCCCAGTACCTATGTGTCTAAAGTCTGCGGAATATGTGGAAATTATAACGGGCACAAATCAGATGACTTTCTTAACCCAGATGGAGAGATGGAAACAAACTCAGCCAGTCTTGGCAACAGTTGGCAGGTTTACAATGACTCCAGGTACGACTCCAACCAGGATGTTAGTTCTTAGCTGTTCGTTGTGCAATGACAGGTATTTTAATCAATTGTTGTATGTGGACTAAAAATGTCAGGCACATGGGATAAAATAAATTCTTATCAGTGTATTTACTTCACCTATCTGGGTAAAGTTTCATGGCAAATTTGACTGTGTTTAAAAAGAGAAAATTTAAATAAAACACTGAAGATGCCCACTAAGATTTCAGTTATTGTTATATTAATGCTAATACTTGAAGATCTTTTTTGAACTCTTCTGAGATACTTTCATATTTATTTTATAATTTCACAATATATTATTTAGTGATAGTAGAGGTTTCACTTCAAATACTTTTACTTTTTGTTTGCCCTTCCTAGGTATATTCCACATAGAAAATGATGTAAAAGAAAGCTGAAATAAATGTTTGGGTTTCTTTCAGGCCTCTCAAAGGCTGTAATGCTGATATTATATTAAAATCTGAATTTCTACCTAAGTGTTCAAAATGTAGAGCTTTAAAATATGTCATGCTTAACCTGGGGACAGACCTGTAGTTTTGTTAGTTGTGATTTGAAAAGCATCTTAGGTGCTAGTGCATCCAAAGTTTAATTGGTGAATTTTTCCACATCTTTTTTTTTCCACACTAGGTGCTTGCCAGATGATGGCCATACTCCAAATTGCACTGCTGATGAAAAACATACGATCCAAAGCAATGAATACTGTGGTCTGATCACAGATCCTAGTGGTCCATTCCAGAATTGCCACTCAGTAGTTGATCCCCAAAGTTATTCTGAAGCCTGCCAGTATGATCTCTGTGAACTTCATTTGAACAATGCAGCCCTCTGTCAAAACCTGCAGGCTTATGCAGATGTATGCCAAGCTGCAGGAGTCCAGCTGACACCATGGAGAAATGCAACCTTCTGCGGTATGTAGCAAAGATTACTGGAAACTACCATCGGTCAGGAGGATGTAATTAGGACTTCCAGAAGACAGAGCATTACAAGACATTGTTTTGAATTCATATAACATTGTGAATCTTGACTGACCAGGCTAAAGATTTCAGGGTTACATAGAGTCCTCAGTTTGATTCTTTTGAGAAGAGTCTAGTGAAAATAGTTAAACTGCTTCAGATGAAAGGAGAAAACACTGTCTAGTCCATCTTAAAATAGAATCAGAGGCTTTTCCTTTGAATTCCTCTAGTGTCCCTAGATTTTTGTTCAGGGGTATTAAGTGTGTCGGGGACATTTGACTTAGAGGGTTTTTTACCTTCTGAAGAAGTGATGTCTAAACTTAAGTGTCTTTGAGGAAAAAAATCTCATTCTTCATATGCTTAGTAGACATGTAACAGTTTTACCCACCCTCCCTGCTGAGAGCCTGAGCTGCTTCTCCTATCCTCCCAGCCTCTTTACCCTGTGGGGTGGCCAGGCACCCAGTTAAAAAAAGTGAAGCTGCATCTTCTCCTCCTGCAGCAACCTCAGCAAAACCACATCAAGGTGGATACCTTGTATGAACATAGAAGAGACATGAGCCAGAGCAGGTGAAAGGCAGAGCTGTAGATGGGGATAGGGAAGCCAGGCAGTCTGGGACAGTGAGAAAGGAGCTTTGAGGTGGAAGATCCTGGATTTAGAGAAAGCAAGTAGGAACCAAAAAGGGAAAATGAGAATTTACTTAGAAGTCTATGGAAAAGAAGGACAGGTTGAAACTGGCTAGGCAGGGAATCAAGGACAAGGAAGCACAGACTAGGTAGCTGGTCCAGCAGCAAGAGCTTGTTGCTCTTCTAGATATAATGAAGTCAGAGCTGATGGGAGGAATATATCTGAGACTGAACAGAGATGTCTGAAACTCACAGTTTGTAGCAGTGCAGAGAGCAGGATGAAGGAGGAACACCTCTGACGAGCTGAGCAGGAGATCTGGGATACAGGGAGAAGGAGAGTATCAGAAACTATCAGTGGCACAAACTACCATATATATAAGAAAGGAGGAAGTGCCAGCCATTATCCCTATCGATGTGGATATCAGTGTGTTCTGTACAGGCACAGTGATTCATGATTTCAGATGAGAGAGGAGGCAGACTGGAATTAAAGGACAGGACTGAGGTAAGAAGCCTGTGTGATGGAGATTGTAACCATGCTAATGGAAGTGGAGAAGGTACTGAGGGTGGAGAAGAGACAGAAACACAGAGAGGCACAAGACAAAAGATGTCTAGTATTGAAGTAATAGACAGAAGTCTGTGCTGTAGATTAAATGGGAATAATGACATTTCTTCTGTGAATGTTGGTAAAGATTCAATAAAGAACATTTCTCAAGCATTCAGGCATGTATTATGTTAAAAAAACTCCACACCATGTTATCTTTAGATCAGGATTTAAATACTGCCTGAAAGTCCTGAACAGATCTGCTCCCACCAGAAGCAATGCAAGGAACATGAAATGGTGATTCAGTGCCCTATGTGCCTTCTGCGCTGAAGGAGATGGGGAGATTAAAGAAAGAGGCTTGTCTGTAAACACTGGAATAACTGAAGCCTGATTTCTTTCTAACTTTTGTTACACATTTGACTGCAGTCACCAGCTAGAGACATTACTGAGGTTTTCTCTCATAGATTCTAT